GTAAATAACCCAAATTTCACTGCTGAAATGCTTCAGTAAAATACAAACCAAAGCCCTCTAACACTGTGGTTGCCACTGGGGGAGCAGAGCAGGACAAGAAGGATACTGTAATTAGCAGTGTAATTAACAGTAAAATGCAGTTGAATAGGAAAACAGCTTCTGATTCAGAATTGGAGATGGCCTGTCCCAGCCTCACAGAGAGTAAGTTACATGTTTGCGCTGATCCGATCTCAGAATGTGTTGTTTTGGGAGCTAATTGAGTTTAGTCCTGGTTAGAATTAAAAATGTGTTAATGACAAGTGTCTTTAACACTGTGGTGACTGTTCCTGATGATGGAGATTCCCCCCCCCCCCAAAAAAAAAAAAAAGAAGTGAAAACTAAGTAAATGAGAAGAACGTGGATTGTAAGGTAACTTGAATAATTCAATTCACACTTATTTTATGGTTCTCCACTGGTCCTTTTCAGGAGTTCAAACCCCATTCCTCTAAGAGGGGTTTAAATTTCCATTTCAGATGGAAGTAGTAGTTGTAAAACATCTCGAAAGCATTTTCTAAAATATAGGACTCTTAAGGAGTTGTATCATATATATATATAACCTAATAAGAAAATGGAATAAAAATATCCAACAGTCTTATTTTTTATCATTTAGATGGAAAAGAGGAGGAGGAGAAGCAAAGGAGGAGGAGGAGGAGGAGGAGAAGTAGTAATAATAATAATAATAATAATAATAATAATAATAATAATAATGTAATACCAAACCTTTTAACCAGGAATAGAACTTGAAAACAAAAAAGGTGAAGGTAAATTGTATTTTTACAGACAGAATGTGTAACTTGGTAAATTCATTTTTTAACGGGGGAGAGGAGAATGAAGTTTTTGCCTGGTTTCACTTGTTAAAATGTAGAACTTTAACTGAAAAAAGGAAGAGATTGGGTCGTTTTCAGAATTTCCATATGGGATATAAACCCTGTCTCTGACAGCTTGAACCCTCTTCCAGTATCTGCTCTTCAAGTAGCTGCACAATTAATTTAAAATTACTTGTTGTAGTGTGTACAAATGAAGCCTTTGTTCCATTTTCAACTTCTAGTGATAAGTAGTGTTTAGTGTTTGTGCTGGTGACTGAATTACACAAACCAATTAATACCATTTCATACCAAGTGCTAAAGCTCTGTCTCACTGTGTGTTTTTTAATTTGTGGTGTGTTGTTCCCCTGAGAGGTGTTTTTCATTTTAAAAGCATCATCTATCTCTCAGGGTGTGTGTTGAAACATGTAATCTGAGGAGATAGATCTCAATTTGATAATGCAGCTTAAAAAAAAAAAGAATTCGTATTACGGTCAGTGTCAATAGGAATTTAAATATTCAAGATCATTGATTTGGCCATGGATTATTGCACATGTTGCAAGTTTACATGAATGAAAATATGATTGATAAAGGTAAGGATATGAGGGCAAAAGAGAAGATAAAAATGTCAATGCAAAAAACACTTACCCATGTCTGGAAGTAATTTCAGCTTCTGGAAGAGAAGTAAATTCAAAATCAAAACAGATTTATTGAAATCTGCTATGCTTAGTAGAACACTATCTTTTAAATCCTTTATTTTACCACTGTTAGGTAAAGATGAAAACTAAACCACACGTATTTTATAGCTACCTGAACAACTAAAAGAGAGTACGAATTGGCAGAGAAACATCCCAACTTCTGTGCCTTTATGACGTCAGCTTCCTGCTGTATATTTTTTTGTGAAATTACATTTTCTGCCACCCACACATGGGCAGTGAGACCACTGTGCTGCAACATTGATTCTTCAAAGACTTCCATACTCGGAAACTTGATTTCTGTTCATCTTCTTGTGTTATGAACTAAGAAAAATAGAATTTTACAAGACTTTCACATTGTGTATGCATTAAAACTGCATTAAATACACAGATTATGAGATACCCTTTACTGTCCCTGTACACAGTTGGATTGTTCTTTAGCAGAAAGATAACATAAAAGTGCTGTAACTTCTGACACATCATTCATGTTCTCGAATTTCTCCTCTTTTAAAGTATTTTTAACAATTCAACATTACAGGACTCTGTAAATAAGAGCAAGGTGATTACTAAAGTCAGCATTTCACATCTTGATTTTAGCTTGTGTAGTCTCTCTCAGTATTTTTTTAGTATTCTAATTATTTTCTCCTTATAGGTTTTTGGGTTTCTCTTTTTTCACTTTAGGTTGATAAATACAAATATTCTGTCGTGATTACACAAAAGGTTTTTCCTTTCTGGCTTCATTTTCACCCACTGAAGTAGAAGCTCCTGCTTTCTTTGGTCTTAATTGCCTGATGGCAGACTAGAAGATACTTTCTGTGGTGCCAAATTACTGAATTTCGTACCTGCAGGCAAGAGTTATGATATACTGGTGTCAGTAGGTGTGTTGGTGGCATCTCCATCTCATCCATGACTTAGATGTGGCATATCATAGATATTTTGGTTTATTCATATTATTTGTGGTTTTTCCATTGTTTGGGGTTTGTTTGGTATTTGATTTGGGGTTTTTTCCTATTTTTCAGTTTGGTTTGGGTTTCTTTTGTTCTGCTTTGGATTTTTTGTTTGTGTTTTGTTTGTTTGTTTGTTGTTTATTTTGGTTGGGGTTTTTTGTTGGTTGTTGTTGTTTTGGTTGGTTGGTTGGTTGGTTTTAGTTTAAAGGTTTTTTGGGGGAATGGCTGGTGGTTTGTGTTTGTGTCACAAGTGTTTTGTATTTGGGTCCAAGTCTTCAGTGTGCAATGAATTAATTTTTATCTTCAGAAGCAAGTGCTTAGAGACCACTTCAAAGTCTGTGGCCACTGGTTCTGGTTTAGTACCAGGATTTTGGACCCACTGATCTTTGGGGTGTTTGTGCTGCAAGAGGAGGGGAAGACAGAGTTCCCAAGACGTCAGTGACAGAGGGATTCCTATCATAAATGTAAAGCCTCCCTAGACCATGGTAATGTCACCAACTCCTAACAAAGAACTAGTAGAAACCTTAGTCAGACTAATTCAGAGACTAAATGTCAGGTGCTCTCATTAATGACAAAGGATGGAGTGAAAAAACGTGTCACAAACTTTCTGCTGCTTCGTGTCTTCTAGAATCCTGGTGCTTAATAATGTGTTTGTGGAGACTTCAAAAAATGTTCCCACTGTGGGGAAAAGCTTTAATATTTAATATATTTTCTTTAAAATGTTGGACAGAATTTCTTTGTTGTCTCGAGACATCTTGGTAGAACCTTTTTGTGGACAACCACAACATTAGTGGTGGAGAGGAAGAAGTTCAGTACAAATGACAAAAATGAGAATATTTAAGTTTTTAGCAGTAAAATTTTTAAGGTAAGCCAAACCATAGGAACTATTTGAAATCTCCTAGTCATCGATGGCGGTTCCACCTGGGTTCTCTTGTTGAAGATCAGAAGAAGGTTTAAACCCTTCCATAAGCATGTTTAAGAGCAATACACAGATAAATGAATATTTACAGTATATAAACCTTCATGTAAGCTTGGAAGATTTTTTGCAAATCACATACTATTACATAATATTAGTAGTGTGGTTCTACTCTAAGACACAGTTGAGTTGAGAGGCACTTCTGATTTCCCCTTTATGAGCTGTAAATAAAGGTGAGTTTTGTTTACTGGATGAGGCAATCCAAATCCAAGGTCCTCACTAGAGTGGCTGTGCTTGGTTGACCTTTGTGGAAATTGTTGAAATTCTGATTTCCTCGCACTTTTACTGTTTTACAAGGGCCTGGCCACATGCACAGTCCTTTTCTCTTTCTTTCTTTCTTTCTTTCTTTCTTATCAGAGATTCTCCCCATCAGAGGGTGCACAAAGAAGTCTCCCTCTTCTACAGCACATTAAGTGCCTTTTCTTTAATCTTTTCACGATTGTTATTGAACTTTCTTCTCCAGTTTGTAAACCCTCTGTACTTTTAATTGCTTTCTCCTACTTTGTGTGCGTGTTTGTGTAGGTTACACTATTTTAGCTTTCATCTGATTCCAGGATGTGAAAGGTTTCATTAATTTATTTATGCAAGATCATAGGAAAAATTCCAGCAGTAATTATTGGTGACGTGATGGCACTTTCTCTGCTTAGCTGTTGCTGGACTTTATAAGTCTTTTTGTCCCTGTACTCAGTCAAATCACTTTTAGCTCCTTATTTTCTCCTGGAGTTACAGGTACCCTGCCTGCCAAAGCCATCCTCTTGATCATCTATTCAGTCAGATGTTTGTGCCTTTCTCCTGTAGTTTCACATTTAGCACTAATCTTTATAGATGTCTAGATTATTGTCACACTTTGGGATGGAATAAGCAGAGATGTTAGATGTGTTTGCTGGCAGTACCGTTTGTTTGTCATTGGGGACTGACATTGACCATGGGCTATGAGGAAGTTCAGGAGTAGCCAAGAGGCTTTAGAACCTCGTGGGATGGTACGGCAGATTTGGGTATAAATTAGGGTTTGAGAAACGAGTGTGAGCATTGAGGGATAGGAGGAGTGCAGCACTGAATTTATATGGTTGATGAAACCACCAGATTCTAAGTATTTACAACAAAAACTTGGGAGTGTGTGTCCTTACAGGTTAAATTTTGTGGTTTACACTATTATGAAAAATATTAGTGAATTATTATACTGTTCTTTACCTCTGGATTCTTCCAAGAATACTTTTCTATTCCGGGGTTCCCATCTTACCCCCTTCTCCAGTATACATGTCTGATTATATGATCTGAATGGTTTGTTATTCTTCCTTGTAATGCATTAAGTTGTTTATATTCTGCATTCACAGCTGCTTAATGAAGTTCTAAGCAACATACCTTGATAGATGTATTGGCTAAGAATTTTAAAATTTATTTAATTCTGCTAAACACTGTGGAACAATATCCTGAATACTCTATTTAGACTGGATGCTCAAGCTGTGCGTGTGACAATGACCCAGTATGGTATTTACAAGCTAAGTGGAATTATTTAGCAATATTTCTTTTTTTTCAACAGCCTTTCATGTCCCCTCGGTACCCTGGGGGTCCAAGGCCACCTTTAAGAATACCCAATCAGGTAAGAATTCATCACTCCAGAGTGAGTGCTGTTTTACTTAATTCTGTGTAAAATGCATCAATCCCTCTACATACAAATTATATTTACTTCACAGTAAATATGGAGGGTTTTGGTGAAAAACAGATACCATGAAGTACTCTGTGGCTCTTAGACACTCTGAGGACTTTATAAAAGCGTAGAATTCCCAGTTTGCTCTCTTCCCTTATGAAAGGATGCGTCTGCCAGCAAGACAGGGATGAGTAATGAGCTGCTGTTCGTCAGCAGGGACCTTCAGTGGCCCATCTGTGAGATGATGGTTCTGGAAGTGTAGACAGCACTTGCGTTTTTAAGTTTTCCATAGTGCAGATAGAGGAGCAGGAAGAGTCATCAACAGATGAGAAGTTAAAGACAAGGAGACAGAAAAATGCCAGTGGAGCTCTGAGAGGAAAACTGGGTCATTTACAATATTGTGAAAGGTTGATAGGATATATGGAATGGGAGTTTTGCTTCCAGGGCTGCCTTTATTTTTTCACACTATGCCCCACACTTATTTGTGGCTATTTTTTATATCTGTGTGACAGGGTGTCAACAAATTTGTCTCTATTTCTGGCATAATATCACCAGAAAGGATGAAATTTAAATAGTGTCTTAGCAAAGGTATTTGAGCCCCAAATATTTGGGTTCCACATTCTCTGTGTTCCTGAGCACTGCAAATCCTGGCAGGTGGGAGCTGGACGTGCTGAGTAGAAGCATTGCCAACCTGCAGGTTTAGTTTCAGGAGTGTTGTTTTGTCTGCACACTGTGATATTTTCAGTTCACAGCTGGAACGTAATCACATAATCTCAGTGAATAACAGGTCTGGCTTCATTCACATTATGCCATGTTCATGAATTGCTACTTTTAGCAGCACTGCCATGGCTTGGGTTACAGTGTGGATGGGCAGTGTGTGAAAGCAATGAACTATTGTAGTGCAGCTTTAAGGCTCAAATGAGGTGATAGTTTGGTCGTGGTTTAGTGGCAAGTGCCCTTGGCAGTTGGAACAAGATTATCTTTAAGGTCCCTTCCAACCCTAACCACTCTGTGATTTACTCATTCTGTGATTTACAGCTGTACTTGAAAATGTGGTAGTGTTTTGGAATGTTAAATAGCACCCAGTGGATCAGCCACAAAGATCCCTTAATAAAAACGTTTTTCTACTTGGCCAAACTTCAGTTAAGATCCTGTGAAAATGAGCCTGAACCCTAGTTCATCAAGCCCAAAGGGCAGATTAACGAGTGGGGACATTAAAACACGTTACTCTTGGCTCAGAAGAAACAGACAGGAATTAAAAAATAAAATATATGTGTTATGTCTTTAAGATGAATTTCTAAGCATTAAATGCTTTCCCCTGTGGTTCCCCTTCCTTCAGGCCCTGGGAGGTGTCCCTGGAAGTCAACCACTCCTGCCCAGCGGGATGGACCCCACACGGCAGCAGGGTGAGTTCAACCACTCCAAATTATTACCCTCACAAACTTGATTATTTCTCCCTGTGTTTCAAACCCTACTCTACCTCTTAAAGCTTTTTTTTTTTTTGCTAGAAGTTGCTTGTGTATTGTGTAATTTTTAATGTGATGTGATTTTATTGCAGGGCATCCAAACATGGGAGGGCCGATGCAGAGGATGACTCCTCCAAGGGGAATGGTGCCATTAGGACCACAGGTACCCTCTACAAATGGGTTATTCTTACTTGACAGGCCTATGCTTATATTCCTCTCACTTTCCGTAACTTGAAGGTGCCCAGGATTTGTTTTCATAATCCCCTTCTAAAATAAACTTTCAGTTTTACAAAAAATATTCAGCTCTGAGTTGCAGCTGTGCAAAATCCAAAATGAAAAATCTGTCATTTTTGTTAAGATTTGGAATTAAAAGGGGAATCCCTTCACTTGCTTTTTTCAGAAAACTCTGTTGTCATCAAAGATGACATTGGTAAGGGAGACCAAGGGTGTTTCCTCATCCTCCTCATGGATAATTATGCTGATTAGGAGGAATAATACTTCTAACTTAGGAAAACTCTTTGTACCAAAAATACCCCTGGAAATTCTGTGAAGTTTTTCTTTCAAACACTATTGACCTAAATTTTTGGTGCATGCTGGAGAGGTTTTAATGTAAAACGAAATGCTCCTGTTGCCATTTTTCACCCTTGTCCATCACGAGCAGATCTGTGGCTCTGTTTCAGCAGTGGACCAAGGCAGGAAACATGGCTCTGGTGCACACCTGAAACACAAACCCAAAATACTGTTCTGCATTTTGTCAGCAACCTCAGTGAGGGAAAGTGTAGGTGGTGGTGTTTCATATTGGTGCTGCCAGTGTTTTGTTTCACAATGTGCTTGTTGTGCCCACACTTGGCGTTTTCACTTCCCCATTTCAGATAATCTCTTGTGCCTTCTTGTTTCAATAACAGCTACATTTTTAATGATTTAATAGCTTTGCCTTTCCAGTTCTGTCCATAACTGTCTCTACAATTTTGGGTTTTCTTGGTACAAACCAGTTGTGCAGTTCCACACATCCGCTGTGTGACCAACAAAACATTATTAAATACATTTATCAATTTTTTCTGTAGCACTGAAATACATTTACCATTTTTGGAGAGAGAAGGAGAAGCTTTGCTGTGCTGCCATATGAGATGGAGCTGATCCTTTATGCAGCACCATTAGTCACACAGCAGGAAAATCTCATGCCATTTTCATGAGGATAATTTTTCCATTTTTGCTGTAGCTTAAAATCCACTGGTTTTGTAAGTTTCTCCTTTCTTGTGCCAAAATTCCTCTTAAAAGGTAACATACACAAAGCTTAAGTTCACAAATCATTCTATAAATGAGAGTGCTCTTATTTTAGGGCAAAGGAGTAAATTTGTTTAGCAGTAGCAGTAATTACAGTTAAAAGTTGGAGCGTGAGGTGGGACAGACTATTCTCTTGTATCCCACTAAATAAAACCAGGCATAATTCACATTTTTGTGTAAGTAGTAGAGTTCAACTTCTGTCATGATATCAGGGCATAAACTCAGGCTTTATGGGCATCAGATAATTAATTTATTAGCATTGCTATGATATTAAGTATCATATGAAATACTCTTGATATTGGTTATCGTAGACCTGGCCTAGTGGAAGGTGTCCCTGCCCAGGTGGTTGCAACTGGGTGGTCTTTAAGGTCCCTTCCAATGCAAACCATTATGGGATTCTATGATTTATTAGAATGGAATAATTGGAAGAGAGATGTAATGATTATGCTGTATGTTATTGAAATTATATCATATGGTGTAATTTTATACAAGCATAACAAAATCTAATTTAAGAGAATACAGATTGACTTCCATGATAAAGAAACCTCAGAACCTCAGACCAGATTTTTGGTTTTCAACTCCCTTTGTTTAGAAGTCGAATTCATTATAAAACTTTCTTTGCTGACCGTCAGGTTGTCCTCAGCATGTGTAAATAATTCCTTCTGGAACAACTTTAACCATTCTTAGCCTATTTCTGTCATTTGTAAACCTTCCTCCATGGGGTTAACAATATTGGGTTTTTAAGTCAGCAATCAGGGAACTCCTGAAAGCATGAAAGGCACTGGCCTATGCAGGCAGCAGTTCCATGGGGACATCATTAACCTGCTGTCCTTTCTTTCCCCCTCCTCTTTGGTTTTGTTTTTTTGTTTTGTGGTAGTCTGACCCTTGGTTGTCGTTGCAGAACTATGGAGGTGCCATGAGACCCCCACTCAACGCTTTAGGTGGCCCAGGGATGCCTGGGATGAGCATGTAAGCACAATAATAACACTTACACTATCTAGAAAATATCATTATTTTGCTGTAGAAGTATAATTTGGGATAGATCAGACAAGGAGAACATGCTTTGATAACTAACAAATGAAATTTTATGAAATGAACGCATAGTCTCTCACAGGAAGTTTTGCTGTCCCAATAAGTATGTACAAATACTCCGTTTCTTTCACAGATCAAACTTCAAATATTGGGAATATTTTGTCAGTATAATCACTGAAGAATGCTACAACTCTAGTTCTTCTCTGCAGAATAAATCATTACTTAATTGTCTGGAACTATTAAAAAAAAAAAAAAGATAAATTTGAAAGAAGAAGTGGTGATGATTCTTTCTCAATTGCTGTTATAATTTCCGTAATTACATTAATTTCCCCTCTAAACAGAAGAGCTTTATAGATATGAGTGTATCTTTTTCAGTTTTTCTGTGTAGTTCTGGAGGAGGATCATCATCTGGTAAAATTAGGAAAACACAGTGATATGCTTTTTATTGTTATGTCATAGATACGCATTTTTATTCTTATTTTTATAGAAAACATAAATAAATCATAATTTTAATTTCAAGTAGAGCTACCAACTTGAAAAAGTAAAAGAGGTGTTGAGATTGATAATAACAGTATAAAAGAATAAGTCAAATCCACCATATTCATAATTTATTCTGGTTTCCAGACATACCTTGAGTTCTTGAAGTAAAATCTAAAGTTGTGTGTTACTCTAATCATAGACATTATATATCAGACTCACTATTTAATTCTAGGAGCCTTCCCAAGGGTAGGCATTTATGCTTTTAAATTAAATTGATGTAAACCAAATATTTAGATATTTGAAATTCAGTGTGACTGTAGTATAAGCACTATAGAGGACTTCCTCAGCAGAAGTCTGAATTATAAGGAAAGAAAATTAAGTTTCCAAAATAAAATGTTGTAGAAGTAAAACTGAGGATAGATAAGATATTTTGAAGGTATTTGTCCACATAAATTAGTGTTTATGTAGGAAAAATAAGAGTTTTCTGGATGACAAAAAGAATTCCTGGCCTACCAAAAAGAGAGAAGATTAATGGAAATGCTAATGTTGCAGCATTTAATAAGCACATTCCATCAAACAAGGGGGTTGCTGTGATCCAGTTTTCTTTCATTTTTATTTTCAGGACATGAGGGTTTTTCAGAGTTCAGTTAACACTGAAATTTCAGTGAAGACTTGTTGTCTGATCAGTTCCAGCATTCAGGGTCAGAGTTCATCAGGGATGGCCGATGGGCAGTGGCAGTGGATGGAGTCAGCTGTGCTAAATGTGTTCTCTGTTTTATCCCTTGCAATTTATCTAATGCTCAGTGCAGGAAACAACAGTGTGAATCATTTAGGGAAATTAAATTTCCAGGAAACAGGATAACTGCACATAAGGGCTGTTGACTTTTTGTAACCTACAGTTATCTTTACATACTTGTGTATTTTCTTTACATGACAATTTTTCACTCTTCCATTCATGTTTTTGGACCAAAAATGTGTGCCTGCAGAAACAGCTGCCATTTAATGATCCATCTTTTTCTCCTTGAAAGGCTCAAAAGGAAGCTGCTTTGGTTAAGAGCAGACCATCTGCCAAATATAATTGTACATTTTTCTAGGTGAAAACGTCTCTTTTGTGGTCAAAAATGGCAGCGTGGGGGCTCATAGGCAGAATTACAGTCCATGTACTTCAGGAGTGCAGCACTGCTGAATAATTCTACCTCAGTCATCAGTAATACTGTCAGATTTCTGCTTGAAACAGCTGATACGTAACCCATGTTCTTCTGCAGAATAACTTTATTTTAGCTCTAAGTTTTTAAGCTAAGATTTGGTGTAGTCATTTTTGGAAAATTTCCTGTCTTTGTGGGAGAAGAAAGCACCATTTTTTGGAACAAAGAGGCAAATTTCAGGGAGCAGTGTTAAATTTCACTGGTGCTTTTTAACACCCTGTGTGACCTGTAGTGCTGTCTCAAGCACTAAGAATATCTCAGTCATGCCTCAAAAAAAAAAAAAAAAAAATTTATGATTTTATCTTTTAACTTCAATTCACAAACTTGTGCCTGGATGTTTAATTGTTTAATTTCCTGATGTAATATATTTGCCCCTTGGGAAACTAAAATTTCAGATTTTTATTTTTCTAAGCACCAGGATTGACATGACAGGACAACTAAGCTGAAATTGGTCATAGTGGTAAATACTTCATTAATTATTTTGGAATTGGTACATTTATAGTAATGTTTAATGACTCTGTTGATGCTTGCAAAATAAACATTTATTGAAGGGCAAAAAACCTGCTTGCATTGATTGAAAGAAACTGCAGGTTGGGTTTTTTCAGGTGTGTTTTATAAGCATTTGGCTCCACAAAATCCATACAGCTTTACAACAGAATCTGCTGCAGTGATTTTTGTGTCTATCCTGAGAGCTGGCCAATAAATTTGAAAATTCTAACAGCTTTTTAGATTAAAGGTGAGTTTCCTGGTCTCAGGGTAAATTCCTAAATTTATCTGAGTTACTTAATTGGCACAGAAACAAGTGCAGGGTTTTGGGGTGAAAACAGACTTTTAAGTGTTGTTACAGATATTCCTGATTTCTTTCTCTGAGAGGATGCAATAAACTAAATAAACATAGGAAGAAGAACAATGAGGGAGACTTAAAGAACACTAATATTCCACCATTTCATGTTAACATTGGAGAAATTGCTAAATGTTTGACATGCCAACTATTTCTTCCCAATGAATAAGGCAGAAAAGACCCTCACCAACATTCCTGATTTCCAGCATTCCAATAATAACACCAGTGGAAATAAATCAGTTTTCAGTTGATTTTTTTTCTTTTGAGCTAATTCCTTTTGTAGTTTCATCCACAGTGTAATATATAAAATGATAAAAAATGCAAGATTAAGTATTAAATCCCTCAGGCAACATATGCACTTAGTAGTTTTTAGTTTTGGAAGACTTAAAAAAAAAGATAGGAAACTCTATGAAGTCGTTAATCAGACGTGATTTTTTTTTCTCTCTGTTTAAATCACTCCCCCGTGCCTGGTGAGCTGTGGTGGTTAATGTTGCTTTTCTACAGCTAATGAGGCCAAAATGCCATTTTAAATGTGGAAGTTTTGTCATCTGCTCTGTTGTCAGGCCTTCAAGAAGTGATTCTGTCTTGTTTATAAATAACAAGGAGCTCTTAATGCTCCCAGAAATAATTATGGTTACTGAGACTCTGTGGCTGTAATATGGAGATTTTACCTCTTGTATGGCTTTGGTTCCCTCAGGATTATTGAGAGGTGAAACCTCACCCCCAAACTATTTTTATGAGCTCAGCTTAGAGTGAAAAACTTAAAAAAACAGCAAGAATCATGAAAAAAATGCTCTCAATCTGAAGAGTTTTCTGGTTTTAATAAATGAAATTTATTATTATTGTTATGATTATTACCATTATTACTGGGTAGTTTTTTTGGATTTTTTTTTCATCATCAACATCATCATCATCTAGGGATTATAGCAACATAATTTTCATGGCCTGTTCTTTTATAAATTAGATGTTCTCAAAACATGTCTCATATAGCATAATTTTATATTTTATTTTTATTTTTATTTATTTACATTTAATTTATGTATTTATTTTTTAGTTTTACTTATTTCTGTTACCATTTTATAATATATTATGATATATAATAATGTAATTTTCTCTTTTACGTAGCATATTAATAGCGTAATTTCTACTGGTGAAACTTTACTATATTGCAGTGTTCTAGATCCATAATGGATTGCCTGCATCCTCAATTCTTTAGGGAGGCTTAATTATGTGAGCAAGATTACTTGTTTTATGACTGAAAGTGTATTTATTTTATGACTATTATTTATTAATTACACAGTAAATAAATTAATCAACTCAACAACTAATTAAATGGCAGTGCAACACTGAGAATTCTGCTCTAGCATTGTAACTTGGGTAGTTATGGTTTATAAACTCACTGTACTTTGAAAAAAGCAACCTTCTTCCTTCCCTGGAGACAGATAATTTAGATTTTGTTCCCCAGAGGTGGTCAGAGGGCAAGGACGGTTCTATGTCTCATTATTCGTCTTCTGTTACAGGGGTCCTGGAGGTGGCAGACCTTGGCCAAACCCAACCAATGCTAATTCTGTAAGTAAATATTAAACATGTATTTGACATCTTCTTGTATTTAGGGAAATATCCTCATGTCAGGTCCAGCACTTCCATAGCATAAAGGTTATCCTGGGATCCCCACATGAGCAGCAGCACCTGGTGTTTCTTCAGAAAACACAGAATTTTCATTGTCATTCAGGGATCACACATCATTAGTTTAAAATGTCCATTTTTGGCATTTGCATTTGGATGAGGTGGGTCTGGCTTGTCCTGTTAAACAGTTCTTCCTGTTTTCTCAGTGTTGGTATTTTAATTCTACTAGTGACAGTTGGGGAGGGGGAGAGCTGAAACTCTTTTCTTTTTCATGTATGTATGTGATTAAAATGGATATTTTTCAACTGATAGTTGAAATATGTTCATTCTCTGAAATTAATCGAGTAGTCCAGTAATAGGTGTATTTGTAACAATCAAGATTGACAAGTTGTCTATCAAGCAATGTGTATTTGTCAGCACAGTTGCTCCTCCTGCATCAGCACTGCCTGGAACTGCTTTGGAAAGAATAATTGCAACGGCTGTCATAAAGAAGAAAATCAGATTATTCGCAGGATTTCTCCAGATATTCTCTTTAACAAACACCACACTTGAGTTTGAAATGAAAACTGTCCTTGGAAAAAAAAAAAAAAAAAGATAATGCAAAGAAACAGAGTTGCCTTCTGGGGTGAAAGATAGGATAGTGTTCTTTCCTTTTATGGTCAAGATTTTAATCAAAATTATGTATCTATAAGAACGTGCAAATTCATTTCATGCTTGGATGACTCTGAAGTCCTGTGAAACTGAAATGCAAGTATGTGCCGCTGAAGCTTATAAACCTTATAAAGTATATTGCCTTAATAATATTAAACTTTTTGATATTTTTATATTTTTATAATTAATATTTTAATAGTGCTGAAAGGTGTTTATTTTGATGATGGAGTAATTTTTCCCATAATTTTAACTGTGTGCTTTAATTACCCCAATTAAAAAAATAAGCATTAACCTGCAGCTGCAGGGTCTCCCATGTTACTGCAGAGGAAATCACTGTTTTATCTCTGTTGATATTACAGATACCTTATTCTTCAGCCTCTCCTGGGAACTACGTAGTAAGTACATTTGTGTGTGTTTGTTTGTTTGACATCACATTTTATTTGGGCAAAAAACCCCACTCCAGATGTTGAGAGCTCGGAGCCCCTGTTTATTGGTTGGGAGCAGCACATCTGATCTGCACCGAGGTGTTTTTTAAGCCATGCCTGGTACAGATGGGGGTGTTCTTTAGTAGGGCCATTATCAATCTGGTCAGAATTGCCCTGAGTGCCTTTGGTTCCACCAAACCTTTTCATAACTAATACAAATGTATGGTCTTCAGTAATAGTGGGCAAAAAAACCCCTTAGCTTTCCGGGTAACACAGCTTTTTTTCTGAGCTTCTGAACTTTTCCAGGAAAAGAATATTTTCAGGAAAAGAATATTTATGTATAGCACTGATATTTGTCTCTGTCTCCAGAGATGAATTTTTTGTTTATTGTTTCAGGCTCTTCATTGTTGTAGTTACTGTTGTACTTGAATTATTTGTGTGTCTGATGATCTTTCTAAGGCAGATTGTTTGTATTGTTTTTATCACGTGTATAGAACTGGTGTCACAGGGTAATGGGACAGAATTATATATTTAAAAGCAATTTATTTTGTCCTTTATTTATGCAGTTAGCTGTGGAAAAGGTTATGATTCCCACAAGTGTCCAAAACTATGGTCCTCCTTTTGCCACATGTTTAGAGGAAACAGCCCAAACCTGCTGATCTCCAAACCAGTTCTTTTAACTCAGAACTTCACAAATTTCTTTCTTTGTGGAAGAGGTTTGTGGATTCACTCTCAACATCAGTGACCAGTTATTGTTGGAGATTTTAAAGGTATTTAGGGAATATTTGGCTTCGTGGAAAGCAAGTGTTTGGGGATGAGGGAAGGCCAGAGAGCTCCTAAGAGAAGGCTTTTTGTCAAAGGATTTGTGATCTGGAACTACACACTTTGAGAACTTCATAAGAATAATCAATGTACAATATATTAATATATAAGCATTTCTAGAAATATATGAATTTATATAACATATATAAATGCACAAATATAGAAAATATATCAATATAAATATATTCTCAGGATGAAAATAGTTGATACCAGAAGGGTTTGTAAGAGAAGAAAATCAACAAACAATGAAAGTACATGCAAATTTAAAATTAGAGGCAAAAGTTAATGAAGACAAGTAACTTTTCTGATAAATGGTCAGTGGTTTCTACATCTCTTTATGTGATGTTGAAAAATAGAGAGAGCAACATTAAAAAAATCAGTGAGCTGTAGTGCACAGGTATATGGATAAAAAGCATGTGGGTAGCATTTCATGCCTAGGTATGGATAAAATATGGATATATTTGTATGGATAAAAGCTTATGGATGAAAAGTATAGGGATAGGTACCCTGTAAGCAGACAGGAACAACCAACCCCTTATATTTGCTGCCACTGAAAAAAAAAAAAAATTCCTGTCTGAAATAGTGTATCTGCTGTTTTGAATTATAACAAAATATATAAAGTAATAGTCACATGGCGATGGAAAAATAATGTATTACTAGAAATCTGTTTTTTATTATGGAAAGTTAGTATTTCACTTTTATGGACATAGACATTTTTACTACAGTGGAAGTTGGTAGTTTTTCATGTTACTTAAAGATATTAGCTCTGCAAACATAGGAAGCAAAATGATTATGGTTCTGTTCTATACTAAATGATTAGGATTCTTAGAATAAAATTCCTAGAGAAATTCTGTAAGAACCTTAAAACTCCTGTTTAACAACCAGAGCGGTTTGTGTTCTTAGTCATGAACAGATTTGTGATCCGGAAATATAAAAAACTGTAAAAAAACAGGTGTTCCTCGGGGGTTTTTTGTTTGGTTGGTTTGGTTTGGTTTTGTTGGTTTTTTTGTTGTGTTTTTTTGTGTTTGTTTGGGGTTTTTTTTAAATATTTGATTTCATGCTAACCGACATTTTTTACTGTCTCCAGGGTCCCCCAGGAGGTGGAGGGCCACCAGGAACACCCATCATGCCTAGTCCTGCAGGTACTGAAATGTACTGGGAAATTATAAAATCATAAGGGATTTTTAGGAAGCACACAGATTATATTTTTTAATAAAGAATCAGTTAACAATAAATTATTTTATTTATATTTTCTGCACCAGGTTTTTCCTGCTTCCTGTTGTCTGCAGCACTGGAGGGCAGGGAACTTTCTTAACTGGCCATAAAAACTTCCCACGCCATAATATTATTTCCATTAAATACAGTTCCACAGATTTTTTTTTTTTTTTTTTTTTTAAAACAACCTAAGGTAAAGATGTTTTGAAAGTTCTGTTTTCCAAAGTGTGAAGACACTTAGGAATTGGCCACCCATGAATTATGCCAAGATATTTACTCTCCCCTGAGACAAACAATTCAAGGATTCCCACAGCCCAACCATCCCATGTGTATTTTGACAGGAGCCAGCAGGACATAGGCAGAGGCAGGGATGTATCTTGGATAAAGAACTTTTTTCCTACCTCATTGAATATTAAAAATAACTTAAAATGCTGATTTTATTTTTGACTGAAAGCCTTTTGTTTCCCCCTTTTCCTTTATTCTCTCTGCAGAAAAAAATTATTTTCCAGGATTGCCAATATTTTCTTTTAAATCATGATGTGCCCTTAGGGATGTATTTAGACTTCCTTAGGTTTTCAGCATTTTGGGTTTGTTTTTTTTTAAGCATTACACCACACTGTACTGTGAAGATCCATCAGACAAAGCCTCCTTCAAGAGTGAGGGTTGCTGCACAGTGTCCCACTGAGGAGCTGGATATACCCAAAATCAAATAGACTGACAGGCATGAGAGTAAAAAACTTTCACTAACTCATAGTCTGTGTAAGGAAAAGTTGTTTATCTTTTATTACAGATGGAAAACAAATTGCAGGAAGCACTGATAAGAAACAAACTCCTGTTTTATAGAGAATATTGAAGATGAGTGAAGTAATTTAGGACTCCAGGAAACAGCATTATGGAATTAAATAGTTACAGATACTTGGTGATTTATAAACCTTTTAACAGTCACACATAAAAACTAGAGCCCAGAAGTAGTCACTGAGGGGCCATGGCAATTTCTTCTTTTCATAGCTCTGTTGTGTGGCAGCAATGGGTAGAAAGGGAATAAAACCTTCCATTATATTGCCAGTGTGTATCAGGGATCCAGATAGAAATTACAGGAAATGTATTAGGTGAGTAGTTTTATTGAAAAGTGTATATTAGCGCTTAAATAATGTCTTATTACAGATTCAACCAACTCTGGAGACAACATGTACACTTTAATGAATGCTGTACCTCCTGGACCCAACAGACCTAATGTAAATATGAGTTTAGCTGTATGTTTCTTTGAATTATGCAGCCCTTTGTTTATACAAACATTGCATTTCCATCAGGTGTCATTATTGCTAAGTGTTCCATTTTTATGGGTGGGCCTTCAGTTGTGGACCTTTTGGGAAGAATCACCAGTTGAGCTTAAAATAATTTTCTATAAATACTGATAAATCATTATGCAGTAAATTGTAGATTGTTTTGGCATAATATTAATATCTTTAATTTTGTGAAGAGCTAAATTTAAGGTTAATATCTGAAATTGGACAGCAACCGCTCAAGTTACAAAGGTAATGTGGAGCAGTCAGGGTTTGAAAGCTGTTAATTAATGACTTGAATTAATAATTCAAGGGAGTAATAAAGTTCCCTGTAACTTCAATGGGAGTAGGGTTGGGTCAGCACCAGCAAGTTGGAAAGTTGTACACATAGTGTTGAACTAAATAATAAATTATTCCTAAGTTATAGACCAGCCTACAGAGATGACAGTCTCCAAAAATCATTAAAGTGACCAAAAGCAATGATGGTTTTCTGGCTTCACAGGAAAGACCTTCTCTTAAAGGTCTGAATGGAACTTGAGACTCCCTTCCCATTCAGAGTTGAGACTGTGAATTTTTCCTTTACTGTGTTTTTTTATTCCTCTTGAGAAACATTTTCCCTTTATTAGGTTATCTAAAAAATATTTGTACAGTGTTTAATGTTTGCTGCTTTTGTAGTTTCCCCTGGGACCAGGGTCAGATGGGCCAATGAGTGGACTGGGTGGAATGGATTCACATCATATGAATGGATCATTAGGTAATGACAGTAAATATTGACAACATGGTGAATTCTCAGTGGCAGTGTTATTTTCAGTGACTGCTTCTTGGAGTTCTGTGGATGACAGTGTGTAAAAATCTCCTGAAAACTGGAAAAGCTGAAACAAAGGGAGAAATTTAAAGATAAGATTAGGAAAAAAAAAATAGCCATCACCTCCCTTAGCAGACTTTTTTGAGCAATTAAAATTCAGCAGTATGCATCTATCGCTAATAAAATTAAATGTTTTTTAAAGAAAGAATGTCTGTGAAATTGTAGATTACTTTGCAGCCTTTATTTATCTATTTCAATACTAAAATGAATTCTTGGTTTAATTAGTATTGGTGCACATTGCGTTCAATGAAAACCTGTGTAAAAGGCAGCCACACCTTTTTTTTCTGTCACTTTCTACATCCTGATTGATTAGCTAAAGTGAAAAATTAAATTGAAACAGTTGTGGAAGAATTTTACACGTACCTACCACGTGCTTATTATTTTCTTGGACCTCTCCAGCTTTCTTGACCACAACCCTTTTGTTGCATATCTGTTCACAGCTCTTGATGATTAGAAAGAATTATTTTCCCTATTTCCACCAAAAATTATCCTTTGGACCGTGAGAAAAGAACTCTTGAAAACATCTATGTATATGATGATTTTACAGAGAGGAGAAATTGTTCTCCTTCTCAGCTTTAATTTGTCTGGCTGTATCAAATAGTGAGCTATTTCAGTCTTCTCCCACAGCTTCATTTTTTGATTGTTTTCCTGGGGTAGTCTTCTAGTTTTGCATTCAGTGGTCTTCCAGGATTTGTCTTTCCTGAAAATAGGTGTCTTTTGCTGCTAAAATAAGCTTTTCTTGCTGCATCCATCCTAGAGTTGCATTTCCTTTATTCTTGGCTTTACCTGAGAGCTACAGCATGTGAAAAAAATTAATAGTGTCATACTGATTATATTCAATTTCATTTGGTTTCTGTTACTGTAGTTCTCAGGATTATCTGGTTTCTTCTAAGAGATACTGTCATCAGTATGTGTAATGCAGAAAAAATTGATGTAACCCCAAATTAATTGATTGAAATGATTATACTGCCTATAAACTTATTACTAAGTGGGTATGGTTAAAGTATTTCTGATACACTATATATTTTCTATGAAAAAAGTACAGGATTAACCTTATTTCAAAACTGATTAATTGTCTGTTTTAATTTAAGGTTCAGGAGATATGGACAGTATTTCCAAAGTGAGTATCTGGTCAAATATTTGGAATTTTTAGAATGTTCCACTCTAAACTATTTTCCCTTGTCTCTGTTATGAAGCTCTTTGTTACGCATCTTTATTTTATTATATCTATATTATATCTAATTGTACCCGGTCCATAATCTGATTTATTATGTTGTAGTCTTCAGTACTATTAAGATAAATGAAAACAGTTCTGATAATCAGTTCCAGTTAACTGTAAATTTGGGACAGTGTCTTTAGGATGTTGCAGGATTGCTTTTGTCACCTCTGTAAGGTAGTGTTAATATCCTGATCATTAGGTTAAGTTCCCAAAAGCTGGATTTAGAAGTAGTTTCAGGAGAAGCGCTATTTTGATATCACAACCATTAGTTGGAAACAGTTGTGAGTTTAACCTGCAGGGGGTTTGCATCCACAGAAATAATGCTGTGCTTGAGTGCATCACTTCCGTAAAAATAAAACTGTAACATACGTGATCATCATTAACTTGGGAATTAATAAGCTGCTTTGGTAAAGTGGCATAAATAACAGGGACCCTGTATTCTTATATTTTGTTACATCTTCAGGCTCTGCAAAAAGTTAAATGATGGATGGAAATGGCCACATTGCCCTGGTTGTGCTGGGTTGTGCAGTGATGGGTTCAGTAAAATCCTCCACTGAGATAATCACCATACAGCACCTTTTTAATTAATGCCCATGGTTTTTCTTCAGTATTTCATAGCAAACTGCAGCATGTTTTAAGGAAAAAAAAAGCCCAAGCAGTTCTGTTTCCATGGGATCATTTTTAAAGCCATTATTCAACTCACAGGTATTAAGTATGTGCTAGTACAGGTGGCAGGAGCCCTGAAAATTTGGGTACAAAAATTTACCTGGAAGTCTCATAACCTGTTAACCTTAATGAGTAACTCACAGGAATTGCATTTGCTCCATGTCTTTTCCACATAACTGAAAGAAAAATGCTGCTAATTTCAGGTGTAGGGAGTTGTCCATGGAAAATTAATTCAATCAGAATCAGTACAGCTCACAGAATCTAGAGTTATCTACAGAAGATTTTGATTTAACTGGCCGAATGGCAGAACGTAACGTTTTTATGAAGTAAATTGGGGGTGATGGGAATAAATTAACTGAAATTATGCATATTAAATAAACATTAATAACCAGTGTTTATTGCAAGGCCCATGGAATTTCTGCAGGCATCAAGGACACACTTCGTTTGGAAAACCCCAGTTAGTGCTCCAGTGCTGGACCCCAGCTGGCCATAAAATCAGCCTGGAGTCACTATGAAAGGGATTTTGTCAGGAATTTGACCCTTTGGGACTCGTGTGCTGTAGCAGTGGCAGAATTTCAAAGCTTAGTGCCACATAGAGCAAGATAAAATAGGGGCAAATCCCCCAGGAATGAGCAAAAGTGCGGGAGCATCATTAAAATAAATGTGACAAGGCCGTAGTGGGTTTTAAACTTTATATTCATGGATTGTAAGGCCAGAGGGACTGACGGTTTTGTAGTATGACCTCCTGCATCACACAGGCAACAGGGCTTCCCTGAATTAATTCCTGCTTAAGGTACAGTAACTGTAGTTAAGCTAAAGCAATAGATATCAACATTTTTGTTCTGTGGCTTCCTAAATATTTGCTATATACTGGCTTCACTGAATAGCAGACTTAATTGTCTGATGTTAATAAACTCATTAGGCTCTTAATTGTCATGTATGTAATTAATTTTGTATTTATATTGATAATGCATTCAAGTTTTTCTGGGTTAAAAAATAGCCAAGGGAAGAACTATGATAAATGTAAGCACTTGATCATGAAGCTCATGACTTCACTCCTCCCTATCTCTGACTTTTCTTTTTCCATCACGAGTCTTCTAAGCATCCCTGTCATAAACAGGGATGGAAAGGGAATTGTCTGTGCTCTAGGCATGGTAGGGGACTGCAAATCAGCTTTGTAAAGGCACCTGACTAATTGTAGTGTGTGCAATATATGAGCTATTGACTCAGAATAGTTTCTGTGACAATTACCTTGTTTAATCCATTCTCTTCCTGAATGTTGCAGAGGTAGTTGTGCTCTTCTGTAAGAAAAGAAAAAAAAAATATTTTCAGGAGGCTTTGGGTTGTTACTATTTCAGTAAATTATGACCACAGTGAGCAAAGACTCCAGGGACAGGCCCTTGAAAAGGCCTGTGCAGACCAGATCCATCCTATGTCTTCCTCTGAGTACCTGTTTCATAACTCACATGTGTCAAGGCACACGCTCACAGACATGGCTGCATTTAACCACATGATTTAATGTTGTGGCAGAATTTCCTCATACACCTGCTGCAGCCTTTTTTAGATTTTCCTGACTTCAGCAGAAGCGAATGCTGGCTATGACCTGAAAACAAGAGTTACAGGTAAACAATCCTTGCTTCGGGGAAGAAAGCATTACTTTACAGGCTAAAATTAGTGAGTGAATCATGCAGAACTCTGCAGGGGCTAATTTTTCATCCTTGAAAGCCCTGTTGCATTTCACAGTGCACCTGAGTGCACCACAGTGCTGAGTGAAACATGTTTGGCACATGTGGTGAGGCTGAGAAGTGAACTGGAATCTTCAACACTTTATATGTGTTTTAAATTCTTATTTAACAGAACTCTCCCAGTAATATGAGCATGAGCAACCAGCCTGGCACTCCCAGAGATGACAGCGAGATGGGTGGAAACTTCCTAAACCCTTTCCAGAGTGAGAGCGTAAGTATTTCATCACATTGGTTAGTGGCTTTTTTTAATTTGTGACCTTTTATTTCTGACTTCTTGTTTTAGAAAAAAGAAAAACTACCAGTTTTGTAGTGTGCTTGTGTTGCATGTTTTTTAATAGCTTCTAAATTTGAATAAAAAAAAGTTGGGAGGTGTATGTTTACTGCAGAAACCATTTTTTCTGTGTTTAGAGGTCAGCTGTCAGTGAAAGAGCAGGGTTTAAACTGAATATGTGATTAGAACATCAGTAGATTCCGTGTTACAAAGATGCCATGTGCTATTAGAGCCATAAAAGGCAAAGGTTCCCTCTAGCGTTCATTCTGGGGGAAAATTATGCCTTTTTTTTTTTTTTTTTTAATGGATAATGCTTGAGGCAGTAAAATATGGTATAAAACACATTACAGACCAAGACTGTGGTATTTCCATATTCATGTGCCTAAAGTTGGGTTTCTATATCCATGTTTAGGTCCCTAAATAGGAGTAGGTCACTACTAAGTGGTGACCCGAAGCTCAGGAATTACAGCGAGTAAACAGCTTCTGTTAGATCTCAAGACAGTTAAACTCCATGGCAAATTTCATGGGAATCAAATTTAGAGGGTTATTTTTGGGTTTTCTTCTTTCACTAGGGAAAAGTTTCTGCATGTTAGCTGTTGGTGGGCACACATTCAGGTTGTGTGGAGTGTTAGAGAAAATTGTCTTGCACAACCCCAAAAGACCAGTGTTTCACTGTCTGCCAAAACCACGGAGCCTCCATTAAATGTGATCCCCTTTCATGGTAGCCCCTGACTCTCAGTTTGGCTGAGGTTGGTGTGCTGAGGGCAGGCAGGCCAGGTCACCAAAACCTGGGTCATGGGAAGAAGAGGACATCAGTTTTGCTCCAGAGAAAATCAGTGTTCTCAGACACTTACTGGATTCTAGGTACTCCTGGATGCTGTTTTCCTGCCTGGTGGAATCAGAGACCCAGTTTTCTCAGGGTTTGTTGAGTTGTGTGCCTACAAGGCTTCTGTTACACAACCCAGCTGCACTCTGGTTTGCTCCAAGTACCGGTTCCTCTCCAACACAGGTCACACTGTTTTCCTTGGGAACTGCCTTCTTTCTGATTCATATTTTGCCACCTGGCTACTCATAAAAGGCATTATTATAAAGTCCTTTCTCAGGCAGATTGGCTGTTCACTAAGAGTTTTTGTTGGGGTGGGGAAAGGTGCTTGGCTAATAACAAGTTAAAAATCCTGAACACTCTGAGACCGTTAGTTGATTCCTTGTCCAAAGTGTTTCCCCACTTGAACAGGTGCTTTGCATTAAGCTCTTTGAGCTGGAGTCCATTCAGTGTACACTACATTCCAGTGTAGCTCACATGACAGAGAAGACCCACCCAAAACACTTTTTCTATATGCTTGGACACTTGGAAATGGCCAGCATAAAGCTCAAGGCTTGGCAGGATATTTATGGCATACCCCGTTTTACAAAAGCAAATTTATCTTTCTGTTTTTCAGTTAGTTTTCAAAATGCTGATACTTCTTGCACTTGAACATTTTCCTCTACTTAGAGGATTCTAGGCCAAATTAAGTGCTTCTGCAGTCCATAGCTTGCAATTCAAAAACAAATTCGGTGTGCAGTTTTTCTAGGCCTTGTGGTGTCTTGTTGATTATTCTAACAAAGTACTGCTAACCTGAGAGCAGCTGTAGCTTGTGTGAGGGCTGCAGTTTAATTTGTGTCATTGTAATAATGTGTCTGTGTGGTGATTGAATTTTTGGTTCACACCAAGGAGAGTGGCCACTGGTCCCTGAGTCAGGAAGAAATGACCACTGGTCCCTGATGCAGCTTGCCTCTTAAAACCGGTAACACAAAATAATACAGACTAAAAACCTAATTTAGTCACAGTCATACATATTTTTAATCCTTTCTTCTCACAAAGTAATGAAAAGCTCCCCAAAATATTTCTTTGGTTCAGCTAACCATAAATGCAGCCAGTCTGCCCAGCTAAATTCCCCCCCGTAGCCAACACAGGCCAGGAAGGGGTGTGGAATGCAGCAGCGATGTTTTGGTTCATCACATCACCCAGTCAACACCAAAACAGCCTCCAAGGGAGTTGCCTTTATCAGCAACAGCTGTATTTGTACATGAGAGAAGTACACAAAGTGAACTGCAGCCTAAGCAAAGGCTGCAGCACAAATTGAGGAGGAAACTCAAGGAGTGTGTTGACATCTGAAACCATTGCTGTGGTCCGGACGTGGTTTTGGTTCCCTGGGGTGGGGGAGAAGAAGTTGTTAAAATGTGGATTGCTCTCTTTGCAGTACTCCCCTAGCATGACAATGAGTGTGTGACCCGCTCACCAGTGTCACCATGAAGACCACAGTGAGTTGGCCCTCTCCAGAGAGCTACTGCAGAAGAAAATTGCTCGTCCCAGTGTACAGTTTAACTAAAGGATCTCAGACACAATCAGACCCACCTGGCTTGTTTTTCTTTTCCTACCATCTCCCCCGTTTTGTCAAGGAAGTGGGTCCCATGCTCGAGACAACTGTAAAGAGTGCTGTGACAGACCTGCCCAAGGTGGAACTGCAAGATTGTCTGCGTGTGACACGTGTGGGTCGACGTCGTGTGTGTGTGTGTGTGTGTGTGTGTGTGTGACACAGAAACACACACACACACATCCAGACACCCACAGGACATTGTAAAATAGTATCACATCACATCTTAAGTAGAAATGAGAAGTAGGGACTTCTATTCCATCTTCTTTTTTTTTCACGTTTACATTTTAATTATTAAAATTTGCTTTCCCTGTCCCCTCTTGAACTGTTCTACATTGCATATATCACTGCTTTATAAGTTATTTTTAAGTTGAACTCAAATGATAAATTCTTTTGATTTTGTTAATGTCTGCCATTATGGATAGGAATAAAATTGCTTATAAGAGCTTTCATTAACTTGTGTTTGATACCAGCTACCCTGTGAATCACAAAATTGTACTGTCTCAAGAAATAGAAGAAAGCTCATCTGAATTTTTTTGAGAAATTTAATAACTTTCACCTAGTTTGGGGATTTTTTTTAATACTTTGCCTTTAAAAAAAAAAAAAGAAGCACTGAAGGTTATTTTTCTTCTTTAATTGAAGCCTAATATCTGCAATATCTATTTTAAATGGAAGCCTGAATTTGATACAAGCTTCTCAGTTTATATAGAGTACTATAAGGTTAATGTAAGTGAGCTCCAATTGCTTTAGAATCTAGCAATAAAGGACAGGGCTTCCCCTGCCCTTGGAAATGAGTTTTCTATTTAGCATGGTCTTCTGTAGGGGTGGTAGTTAGTGGAAAAACAGTAGAGTCCTTATCACCAAAACCCTTTCTAACAACTTACAATTATGTTTCCTGTTTTCAGAGGTTCTCAAACAAATAGTAACAGTTCATGCTCCTAATTATAAACAGCATTTCACAAGCCCATTCAGTGAATCAGGTCACCATGCTGCTGCTTGGGTGTGTGTTTTCCACCATGTCTGCCAGAATTAATTCCCCCAAAACTTTCCAGTCAGCAGCCTTTTTTGAGCCAAAATGTTGCAGTACAAAAGGTCTTACCTCTTGCCGTGAACAGAAGAGGAACAAAGGTCTGGGCCATTTTAAGAGTGGGACAGCCTGTTAGGTGTGAAAGCTGGGAACAGAAGGGAGAAATGGTCCTAAAGGAAATGCTTCTGGAAGCAATCCATGTATCTTCAGGCAGAGCTCTGAAACCAAGATAATGGTACATATATTTAATTCCTAGTGATTCACAGCTCCCCCAAGAAAACAGAAGTTTTCAGTTTGTAGTGATCAAAAGGGTGATGATCAGCAATGTGGGCACAAAGTGGCTCAGCAAAAATTCAGGCTACAGACAAAAAGCAAATTCCCCTCCTTGGACTTACAGATAGAAGAGCCACTTAGAGAGGAGGAGCAGTTCTGGGCTGTAGTATGTCCGTCCATGTGCAAGGGGATTTTTTTTTTTTTTATGAATTGTGATAAAGAAGCATATGGGTGGGCTTGTTGTGATGGCAGCTGCATGTACTGGGATGTGTAAGGAATACTACAATCTCCTAAGTCATTTTTATTTCCATGTATATATAATATATGGAAATAAAAAAGATTTAACACTTCACTCTCTTGTTAGGGCAATTCAAAGATGAAATGCTCAGAGGTTTAAAGTTATGTTAAAGTCTCAAGGATTCTGGTAGCTTTATCTTTTGGTAATAAAAACTACTTTGATTAGTTGAAAACATCAACTATATAGTCATTTTATGGTTTTGTAGACTGTATTCCCAGTGATTATGAAGGTCACATTCATCTGCTTCTCTTTGGATAACACTTTGTTGCTGTCTCCAAAGATGGAGACACTACTGACTTGAGTTCCAAACACAAAATCAGGTGTTAATTTCCTCAGACCCTTTGCTGTTGTCACTCACACCAGTGATGTGTTCCCAGAGTCCAGGTGTCCTTGCAGCCTGTGTTGACACCTGTATTATCCATGGTAGCCTTCCAGGAAGGACGTGGGGACTCCTTCCTGCCCAGTTTCAGTCAGGTGATGTCACTGGCTCCTGGACTGAGGTAAATGGGGGCTATGAATCAGGTGCCAAAGCCTGTTCACACTCCAGATAATTGTCATCTTGGGCACCTTTGAAGGGTGAAAGTCTGACCACCAAAGCTGTCAAGGAAGCCCCTTGAATGGAATTTCCAACGTATATTGGATATTGCTATCAAACTATGTTGTCCTCATTTTTATACAAGAGTAAAATGTCCTTTCAGGCACCTAATTTACTTGGTGTGCCCCACATTTCTCATACCCACATAGTCCCACAGACAGCAGCTCATTTTTTTGTTTTGTTTTGTTTTAAATATGCACTGGGCTTTTTGCTTGTTCATTTTTCTTTCTTTTGCTTACAAATCCTTGTAGGATTTTCATCGTAGCTGGAGTATCAGTGTGGAAAGAAAGACTATTCCCAAGCCCTGGGCTTTTGCTCCTACTTATGTTTCTTATGCTCCAGATATAGCAATGTAACTCCTGTTTGTATCTGTCCTTGTGCAGCAGCATTATTGATAATGTCAGAACTTGTCCAACTCTGGGAGCAATTTTATTTTAAGTGGTGCAGGATAGTGTTTTTTTCTCTCAGCTTTTAGATAGATTTTGCTCTTTAATATAGAAATAAATAATGGTGACTCTGTAAATGGGTCTTTCAGACAAGGTTAAGGTAAGTCTTTTTAAAAACCGAAGTGATTAGAGCAGCAAAAATAGGGAGTAGGGCATCTCTCATACTGTGAGAACTCTGGCAACTATTCTGGCCTTGTAGAAATCAGCTGAACTTGGGATTTACTTGTGAACTTCACAGTGAAACCAGTACTTAACATGCAGCATAAACCAATGAAAATGAGTATTCTTACCCAGATCTATCTGCACATCACCCAGATTTTATCACCATGTCTAAACCTTGTACAGGCAAGAACAGAGCTTAGGGCAAGGAAGAAGCTGTCTGAATTACAGGTAAAAGCACATGGCCTGACATGTGCATCAGCAAAATACCCAGATATTTGCGTGTACGTATTGAGTTATTTTCTCTATTGCCTGAGCAAGAGGAAGACCTGCAGTTGCACTCAAAAAAAGTGCCATTTTTTATTTGGTTGCAGAGCCCTAGCAGGTTCAGTATTGAACTATTTATTCCTTTTTCCTCCCCCTTACCAGTCAAAATGACTTCTTCAGCTGATACATGTTGCACCTAATTTCTATTTCTCATATCAGTTAATTATTTTGGAGTGTTTTCTCCTGTTCCTGGTCAGCCCTGATGTTGTTATGACGGCTGAATATGGACTGGATTCTTCAATATTTGACCCTACACATTCACATTTCAATAATGTAAGGTATAGCTTAATAATGTAAAAAGAACAGGTAAATTTTTTTATCTTTAAATGATATAACTGTGGCTCCTGTACTGCTTGGACCTTAAGGACCTCGACAAAGTACAGTTCTCAAATAAACCCCAAAGAATTATTTCAACAGTGACATCTCACACTAAGGATCTAATTCAGGATTTAATGATACAAAACAACTATAAAAATTAAAAGACAGATGAGTTAGTTTTAGATTTTACTGTATGCAGCTCTCTTTACTTTCCAGTTATTATTGGCACAGTCCTATAGGCTGCTGCTCGTACCAGTTCTGATGAAACTTGGATGAAACCACTCACATAGTGTCATTTTTTGGGTAGGACTTCACCCTGATCTGGGTCAAATCTGTAACTTGCCTGAGCTGTGACATTATTTGGTAGATGTGTAAACTGAGTACTTCGGACAAAATACAGAGGGTCTGTTGAAATTACTGAAATGATGTTTCAACCTGGAAAAAAAAAAAGAAAAAAGTATTTAAAATACTGCTTTGAGTGCATGCTTATATATTGTCTATATATTGGGAACAAATTACAGTACCAAATTCAGAGATAAAAATGGATCGTCTATTCAGCACATTACAGCTCTGGTCCTGCCAAAGAGTTTGTCTTGGTTTGAAATTATGCCTGCACATTGTTGATTTTAAGCAGATTTAAGAATATAGGTAGTATCCTTTAGAAAATTAGGAAAGTAGGACTGTAATATGCTAAAATTGCGCTTGAGCATGGATGGTCTAGAGCTCAAATTTAAGTCTTTCCTAAGCAGACATTATTTTAAAGGTATCACCAGTGCAGAAACATGTTCATGTGTCAATACTGACATGCAGTGCAGATTTGGCTTTCTTCTGTTTCTTACTTTGTTAGAGCTTTGTTCACTACTACATTGACTCTTTTTGTGAATTTGTCCTTCCACCTTGTTTTCAATTGTGCAGCCATAGTTTCCCCAACACAGCCAACAGCTTTGCAGTTTTAGTCCAAACTTCTGTTTGGTCGCTGTTCTTCATTTAAGCTTGAAGTGTGTAAGAAAGCCTCTCATGTAATGGGAAAACTTACCATAAAAATGTATAAAGGTTTTCTTGGGTACATGTTTTCACATTTAATAAAAAGGCAGTTTTTGGTTATAATTTGAAGTGGTCAGTTTCTAGCCACTATTTAATTTTTGTGTGCAGAAGAAATTGAGAGAGGAAAAAAGTCACCTTTTTTTGTTTTTTGGTTTAGTTTGGTTTCTTTTTTTTATTATTATTATTATTTTATTTGTTTGAAATCAGCATCATAAATGTTTGCTGAAAGATGTGGTTTTTTGGGGAAATCAGATCAAAACCACATTTGCTAGTTGTAAGTAGTACAGGAGGACTTGGTGTTGAAAGCTCCTGCCATATCCCCAAAAGTGTATCTTTTGACATCTGATTTGTGTGGCTTTGTACAAACCTGATTCATAAGCAGTGATTTAATTTGTCTGTCCTGTGTTTTCAGTGTGTCTTGTGGGAGGTCCAGGGTTCTGTGGTCTCAGGAGAATGACCAAGTGGTCGAGCAGGCTTGTTCCCAGGGTCAGGGGGTTCAGGACAGGGGGATTATCCACCAGAAACAAGATGTTCGTTCACTACCTCGCTGTTCTTTTGAGAACTTGCACAACTCTTCTTGCCAGTAGGTTCTGGGGATCCTTTAAAATTTTACATTGCTGAGACAAGAAGCTTAGTTTTGCTAAGAGAAAATCCTGGCAGTTTTTAGCAGTGGTTTTCCTAGGGAAACAGCTCAAAACATGGGGATTTGGAAAGGTGATGTGTTTTCTCAGTACCCTGGGTGTGCTAGGAAATAAATAGTACAATTTAGGAGTTTGGGCTGTTACAGAGATACTGAAATCATCAGTAATTGCTTTTGATGGGAAAAATTATTGGCTGTGGAACAACTGCTTTGATCCTTGAGGAGTCAAACTGTCAACTGGGTGAACTGGATGTTTTAGGGTTTTTTTCTATTGATTACTCTTCACGTTTTATCCTCTCTCATTTGGATTTTCCCATTAAATGTACTGTGCCAGATCTTTGCACAAAAAATAAGAGCATTTTTTGCCCAGTAAACATATAGAAAGTTTTTTGCATCTGTAACTACAGCTCTGCTGTAGAGAGTTTATTTCATTATAGAGACTTTTGAGCATAAAAACAGATAAGGTGTGGCAGTGCAGCATCCCAAGAGCTGTCACTGCTCCAGATCAGGAAGGCTAGCATCCCACAGACTCCCAGATTAGGTGAGATGGTTCCTAAAAATGACATAAAATAGCTTGAAATAAAAGCTGGTTTTTGGCATGCAGATTGGAGGAAATAAAATCCCAAATACAGGATGTATTTAATTGAGGTAGAAATTCATTAAAGCCATCTCTAACAGGAGCACAGAGCATGTCCAGCAACTTAGAGGGAAAGCAAAGCTAAATTGTGTTGCTAACTTGTTGTCAATAAGCATAACATTCAAAAGCAGGTATTAGCTATTTTTTGTTTTCATTTTTCAAGTCTATTTTAATTTTTCTGATTATCTCGTAGTTTTGATTTGATTTGAATTTACATTAATGAATAAGGAAGAGAACACAAGTTCCTAAACTAGAGCTGGAATTACAGACATGAAATAGTGGCTTGAGTAAAGCTGGAGCTTTCTGTTAGTTAAGAATCAAGTAAAATTTTATATTGTTCTTTTTCCAGGTCAAAAAGCATCCAAACAATAAACATTTTCAGCCTTGTTGCGGCTGTCTGAGAAGTGTGAATCAAAATGCTATGCTCAGAGACCAGTTTTCAGGGCTTTTTTTTTTTTTTTTTTTTTTTTTTTTTTTTTTTTTTTTTTTTTTTTTTTTTTTTTTTTTTTTTTTTTTTTTTTGTGGCAAGTATCCCCTTGCAGTGCATCTATTTCATGCATGTTTGTCTAAAACTACCAAAAAAACCCACCTCCTTTTTATTTGAATTTCTGTACATACATCTGGTTCTGGTGGGAAGAGCAGGAAGATTTGGTAGCTGGTGGGTTAGCATATTTATGTGGATTACTTAAAGCATTAGTAAACTATTGTCAGCTCTGTTCGCATTGCACAAGATACTCTGTGTAGTCTACTGCTGGCATTATAACCTCGGTGATCAGTGCATATTCTGTAAATTCCTGTAGGTTTTGTGTAAGAAATCTTGTCACCACTGCTTACTACTGTAAATTCTTGGTTTGAAGCAGGAGGTGGCATTTAATTGTACAGCCATGTGTATTATATACTACAGCAATCCTTGTTCTGTCCTCTAGACTCGCTGTCCACATAGAGTTGAAGCTCTGTTAAGCACGCATAGTGGTTTCAGAATTTATTTCAGACAGTAGATCTACAAGCCATTTACAGGAATATTAAATGTAATGTAAGAGAATCCAACCCAGTTTGTACCCTTTCTTGAGAGCTAGGGGTTGGATTTTAGCAGGCTGAAGGTCAGCGGGCTCCGTGGCATCCCTGCTGCGGGTGCCTGCACACCTGGGAGGTGTCACACCTGGGCAGGTGTCCCCTGTCAAAGGGGTGCCCCAGGCACAGTGTCTGGGCAGGCTGCTGCCTTACAAAGACGTGTGAGATGGTGTCTTTGTTTTTTCCCAAGAACTGCATCAGTGCCAAGACTGAAACCCATCTTTAAGGGCATGCAGGAGGTGCGGCGCTGCCTCCCTATTGTGTCCTCCTCCCCACCCACCACAGGCTTCACCTGACGTGGCGTTTTAAGGAGAATTTAACTCTCTCTCTGTTTGTCGAGAGAGAAAAATATCCTGAACTCTTGGACTGTGGATTCTTTTTTATAGTATTTTATGATGTACAACAAAGACCTGAAATGTCCGTGTGTTCTTTGCTGGTTTCTGACATCAGAAATTCAAGTCCTGTCTAATCTGAAAGGCAATGATGGGAAAGGTGGAAAAGCTTAGAAAGTTGAAGGGGATTCTTACTTGGATTATTTTAAATGTTTCTATGGATAGTTTAAATGACTAGGTTAATCTCTTGAATCAAGGCAGTCTTAATGACTTTGCACCTTCACCATTTCAAGTAAGACTTTGAGAACTTGCAATAAATATTCCTCACACTTGCAGTCCAATATGTAGATAAATTCCCTATATTTCAAAAATCAAAAAATATTTCTACAGTAACTTCAGCCCTTCTACAGAGAACAACAGGGCAGTTCCAATCCCATAATCCTAAGTATTTGTAAGCGTATTTTAGACAAAGAATGACTTTCAACATCATAAATGAAACAAATGTTCAATGTTCCAGTCTCTGGAAGTAAAGGAAACCTCAGTACTTTTGCAAACCAGCAAGAATTAAATTTGTTAATATAAATATTAATGTAGAAAGTGCATGCAAAACTTGATACTGCCTCTGACCTTAAGCATTAATATTGATAATATTGGGGATCTCACAAATGTTGTGTGTTTCAGAACCACTGTATTTCTCTTCAGTGTGTGTTTCATCTTCATTACCGACAGCTACTGCAAAGAGCCAATCTATGCCATAACCAAGGCATGGAAATACAAACTTCCCACAGCATCATAAATACGTGGACATGTGTGTGTGTTGTGTTAGGATGAGTAACCACTCCAGCTACAAACTCCTCCAGACCTTGTGTGTATTTTCAGAGCAGCCTGTGGGATGGGTTTGGGAGGGCAGCAGCCTGTGTGGGTGCTGCCTGCCAGCAATCCCATCCCACATGGCTTTGGGTCTGGCTTTGGGGGATCATCACGAAGTCAAGCCTCGCTAGTTTATCTGTGAAAAGTTCCTTGCCAGACTGGGAGCTGTAAAGACACGGATGGTGTGGGTCACTGACCCAGAGCACGTCTGCACTGGAGCCTCAGGCAGGACTGTGACAGACGGTTTGTCATGGTGATACCGTGCCACCACAGCAGTTTTGTTTCTGCTCCACACCGTGGCCTGATTCATACTGCCATAATCTCAGCTGGCTAAAAATTACCATCCTGAGTCTCCTGTGTAAGTCAGAGGAGGGACAGGAGAGGAGATGCCTCTGTAAGATTGTATGATGGCATCAGCGCTCCCACCACTGATGAACAGCTGGAATTAGGCGGGATGAATCCATGGGTTTACGATCGGCTTATATACCTCTGCACAAAAGTGTATTTATTTGAACTTGGTAAGGGCAAGAATAATGCAGGTCCTTTGAACCCAAATCCGAGTGGCTTAGAGATGAGTTTCTGAATTCGATCTCGAACATTAGATTTCTGCCCCATAGTTGCTCTTTTATTTTTACTTCAGTTTTTATGAACTGGTGTAACTTCAACTAACTCACTGGAACATTTCCTCACCTTTATTTGTTAAGTGGGCTCCCTTGTTGCCTGCACCGATTCATTTATTGTAAGCGACACATGAAGAAACCTTTGCATAGATCAGTCAACACCACCAATAGCATTTGCAGATTTTAAATTCAGCTGTGAGCTCGGAACTAAGTATTGATGTTCATACTTCCCAGGTTGGCTAAAGATTCCTTTCCTGAGAGCTTTAAGGAATAAATCTACGAGCTCCTGATTGAAGATTGAGGG